GCCAAGTGGGAGGAGAAATGGAAAGGGCTCCGTTTCTCCTGCTGCTTCGCTGAAGGGGCGCTGAGCAGAGAGGGGGAGATTTCTTTTTCTTGTTCTCCCCCTCTAAAACAAGGTGCGTCCTATGGTCAGGGGCGTCCTATAGAGCGAAAAATATGGTAATTGCACAATGTGCACATATTCTAAAAGCCATTCCCAAGTAGGGAATGCTGCAAGCCTGCCGAGACCAACAACAGCCTAACCAGCTCTGTAGGCAACATGCTGCTGTCTTCTGTAGCAACCATTTCCCACTTTGGCACTAAGGGTGCACGTGCTGAGTCATAATCCCATCCCCAAGCCCCCGTGATGCAGCAAGGAGCCAGGATGGGTAAGTCTGACCCATGAGGAACAGAAGGTGCCCTGTCTCCAAAAAGCCATATCAGCGAAAGTAAATACAATTAAGGAGTTAATTAGCAGGCTGCAAAGTGGGGCTCAGGAGGCCCCTGGGATAAACTTCGTGTCTTATTATGCATTCTTGGCTGAACTGAGTCAATGGGAAAAGAAAGCAGCAGCAACAGAAGCTTCCCCAGGTACCGCAGAAACCTTGCAGATGTCACTCAAAGTCACTCCGACTCAAGGAGGCGGGAGCAGCAGCAGTTGCTGGAATCATAGGTATGTAATGTGCTTTCAGCTATATATATTTGTTGTTGCATGCCTCTTTGGTTTTTTTTTTAATGTAATTGTGAATATATCCAGGGTGTGTGTGTGTGAATGACAGTGGGTTGAGAGAAAGAGGCTGAATTGGGTTGGACAGATAGTCTCTTTTCGTAGGAGAAGAGGCTGATTGGAATTGTCAAGGCTTGACCCAAAGAGAGCAGAGATTCTTGTACCTTTAATAGCTGTGTGGTTCAGTGGCTGCATTGATCTCAGCCATTTGTCCTTGTCTTCTTTCAGATCAGGAGGAAAACCCCTAGCAATCTGCAGGGAACTGGCCCAATGCATTTTGCTGAGGCAAGGGACACTACTACTACTACTACTACTACTACTACTACTTTATTTATACCCCGCCCATCTGGCTGAGTTTCCCCAGCCACTCTGGGCGGCTCCCAATCAAATGTTAAAAACAGTACAGCATTAAATATTAAACACTTCCCTAAACAGGGCTGCCTTCAGGTGTCTTTTAAAGATAGGATAGCTGCTTATTTCCTTCACATCTGGAGGGAGGGTGTTCCACAGGGTGGGCGCCACTACTGAGAAAGCCCTCTGTCTGGTTCCCTGTAACCTCACTTCTCGCAATGAGGGAACCACCAGAAAGCCCTCAGAGCTGGACCGATGGGGGTGGAGACGCTCCTTCAGGTATACAGGACCGAGGTCGTTTAGGGCTTTAAAGGTCAGCACCAACACTTTGAATTGTGCTCCGAAACGTACTGGGAGCCAATGCAGATCTCTCAGGACCAGTGTTATGTGGCCCCGGCGGCCACTCCCAGTCACGTCTAGCTGCCACATTCTGAATTAATTGCAGTTTCCAGGTCACCTTCAAAGGTAGCCCCACGTAGAGCGCATTGCAGTAGTCCAAGCGGGAGATAACTAGAGCATGCACCACTCTGGTGAGACAGTCCGCGGGCAGGTAGGGTCTCAGCCTGCGTACCAGGTGGAGCTGGTAGACAGCCACCCTGGACACAGAATTAACCTGTGCCTCCATGGACAGCTGTGAATCCAAAATGACTCCCAGGCTGCGCACCTGGTCCTTCAGGGGCACAGTTACCCCATTCAGGACCAGGGAATCCCCCACACCTGCCTGCCCCCTGTCCCCCCAAAACAGTACTTCTGTCTTGTCAGGATTCAACCTCCATCTGTTGACAAGATAGCAACCCCCGTCCCAGATAGTCACAGACTGGACTGGCAGTGGAGTCTTACTTCAGCACCGGCAGTGGGACAGCGTCCTTTTCTGAACCTGAGAGCAGCAGGCCAGCTTGCAGGGGTTGGGGAGCTTAGAGAGAGCAGCCTACGTAACTTACACAATACCTCAAGGATCGCATACCGGAGGGTGGCAACATGAGAATGGGCCTTTTCTGCAGTGGTTCCCCATCTGTGGACGAATGCTCTCCCCAGGGAGGTTTGCCTGGTGCCTTCATTATACACCTTCTTGGGCTTGCCGATCATAAGGTCAGCAGTTTGAATCTGCGTGACAGGGTGAGCTCCTATGGCTTTGTCCCAGCTCTTGCCAACCTAGCAGTTTCAAAGCATACCAGCGCAAGTAGATAAATAGGTACCACTGCGGCAGGAAGGTAAACAGCATTTCTGTGCACTCTGGCTTCCATCACGGTGTTCCGTTGTGCCAGTAGCGGTTTAGTCCTCCTGGCCACATGACCCAGAAAAGCTGTCTGCAGACAAACGCTGGTTCCCTTGGTGTGATGGTCTGGGACTCGGTCTCGGACTCGGAGCCAGAGGAGTCTCAGTCCACACCGGATCCTTTGCCCCAGGTGGCATCTGAACCTAGTCTGGGGCCTGATTCTAAAGAGTCCCAGTCTGCACAGGCTCCCCTGCAACAAGCACCAGCTGGGCCGAGTCAGGGGCCTGAGCCTGCCCTGGCTCCAGATGCGGGGATTACCTCGTTGCCTTCAGCTGGGCCATCACTTACAGCTGCTCCACTACCAGCTGGGTCAGGAGAGGCTGAGGCAGTCTCTGGGTCTAGTAACCCACCGACATCTCCCGAGCTGCAGAGACTGAGGTCTGAGAGAAGGAGAGACCTGAATACTCGCAGGAGGAGTGCTCACCTATGGGCGAGACAGGGAGGTGAGTCACCGGGGGATCAGGACCGGCCGTTACCTCAACAGAGATAAAAGGCTGCTGGAGCAATGTTGCTGTTTGCCAGAACCTGCCTGTGATTCTGTGCCTGACATTGCCTGGTTTCCTGCCTCGTGTCCTGCTTTGGCCCTATCGGACTGACTCCTCATGGGACCCTTGGATTTGGGACTGGACCTGGACCACGTTATTCGGATTACCCCTGGGCCCAGCACACTTGGCCTGAAAGTGAGATGAGCGCTGCGCCCTGTAGTCGCCTTTGACTGGACTTAACTGTCTGCTAGGTGCCAGGCAAAAATGTTCCTTTTTAACCAGGCCTTTGGCTGATTGACATCCAATGCCCTTTTAAAAGGTGTTGAGGGGGGGAGGTTATCTGGTTCTTCTTATTCTTCTTCTTCTTCTTCTTCTTCTTCTTCTTCTTCTTCTTCTTCTTCATTTTGTGTTTTCCTATTGTGTCTTTATGTTGTGACGACTAGCCAACTTAAGAATAAAAATGCAGCTGCTTTTCTGTGGGTTCCACTTAAAGCAAACCCATGGGTAAGACTAACCCTACAGGCCGTCAGTATGAAATCCTTGTGCAGCCTGGATTGGGAGAGGTGCTTCTGGGGGCTAAGCGAGTGACCTCATCTAAACCATGCAAACCGTTAACAGTGCAGTTCTACAAAACTCACCTGGGAGTGTCAATGAGCTCAATGAGACTTACTTCTAAGTATACAGTATACAGGTGTGACCGGAAAGTTCGGTGAATGGTCACAGAAATCGGACAGCGAGAAATATTCGAACATACATACCTTACAGGCCTTCAGACTAGGCCCCCTCTGATACAGTGCACCGTTGACAACGTTCGTAGAACTGTTGGAAACTTCTGGAGAAGTCCTCTTTTCGTACTGCTTTTGGTTCCCTCGTCACAGCAGCTTGGACGTGTGAAATGTTGGGAAATCTGTGCTGTTTCAGTGCAGATTTCAGTTCTGGAAAAAGAAAGAAATCCCGTGGGGCCAGGTTGGGAGAATATGGAGGGTGGGACAACTCAGCAACCCCAGTAACAATTTCACACGGAATATGCAATTCTTCTGCCATCATTTGGACAGACAAACGGCGATCCTGCATCAATAGCTCAACTCTGTTGACATTTGCCGCCGTTCTGCTCCTTGATGGTTTACCAGACCAAGGGTTGTCTTCTATGGCTTGCCGCCCTTCACGGAAATGCTTAAACCACTCATACACTGTATTTTGAGTTACATCTCTGCACACAATTGTGAGGATTTTGTGGGTTTCCGATGCAGATTGTATGTTCGAATATTTCTCGCTGTCCGATTTCTGTGACCGTTCACTGAACTTTCTGGTTACTTGACATCTTTCCGCAGGGCCTGCGAGACAGAGCTGTTCCACCAGGCCTTTGGCCAGGGCACAGCCTGATCCCCTTCTCTGGCAATCCTCACAGAGCCCAATGGTTGCCATTAATCTGATTTGAACTGATTTTATAATGAAATGATTTTAGAATGTTGTATTATTTTACCGTTGTTAGCCACTCTGAACCCGGCTTCGGCTGGGGAGGGCGGGATATAAATAAAAATTTATTATTTATTATTATTACAACTTGTATTTATAGTTGGATGGGGGAGCTGTGGCCCTCCAGTTATTGTTAGACTCCAACTCCCATAAGCCCTAGCCAGTAAGGCCAATGGCCAGGGATGCTGGGAGTTGTGTTTTTTCAAAGCTGAAAAATGGGTTTCAGGGGACTGAGACCCCCCCCTTCCCCAAGTCAGTTGCTTTTTTGTGTCAGGAGAGCGAATGGCGTTCCTTCATGCTAAGAGAAGGGTTTCTCTCCTCAGATAAAAAGGCATCTCCTTTCTCTGGCCAGGTCATGACTAGATGATATTGCCTTGGAAAAAAACAGCCTTCCCATCAGAGCACATTCTGCCTGCTGTAGGGAACATTCTTCAGGGAAAATGTTCTTATCAGGATTTAGCAGGAATGGCCTGCCAGGGGTTTAGCAGGCACACAAAAGAAGGCACTTCCTATTAAAAGTGTGCTAATGACAAAAAGAACTTGAGTTCTGATCCATAATACCAACGCCTTAACCAGCCACCCGTTGAACTTGCTGTGATATTCCCTGTTAAAAGAAGGATACAGTATGGCCTTTTTAGGTTCTAAATAGAATGACAGTTAAAAACCATGAGGGTCATCTAGCCCAACCCCCCTGAAATGCAGGAATCTTTTGCCCAACGTGGGGCTTGAACCCACAACCATGAGATGAAGAGTCTCATGCTCTACTGACTGAGCTATTTCTACAGGCAAGCTGTTTATTGAGCATTCATCCTGGTGGTGCTTGCATGGAGGCTAGACGGCAGTTGCATCAAAGTAAGTGTCCCAAACACTCCTGTGCATCTCCCTGCCATTTTTCTTAGTGTAAAAAGCCTAACTGGGGAATGTGCGTTTTTTGTGGAAGACCTCCCGGTCAACCACAATTGTGCAACCTGAATTTGCCACCGGTTTATGACTGAATCCTTCCAGCAACCGTTGGAAGTGCTCCTCTACATGGTTCTTCCATTGATAGATTTTCTTAGGAGGAGAATTTGATAATGATTCAGTTATGCTTATTTTGATTGTACTTATTAAAAACTAGCTTCCTTAAGCCTATTAGGTAAAGGTAAAGGGAACCCTGACCATTAGGTCCAGTCATGGCCGACTCTGGGGTTGCGGCGCTCATCTCGCTTTACTGGCCGAGGGAGCCAGCGTACATCTTCCGGGTCATGTGGCCAGCATGACTATTAGGCATAAGCCTATTAGGTGGCTTAAATATTAGAACATAATACAAGAACACAAGGAGAGCTTGTGGGGTTGGGGTAAAGGCCTATCTAGTCCAATGCCCTGTTCTCACAGTGGCCAACCAAAATCCCAGTTGGAGCAGGACACGGATGCAGCAACACTTTCCTCACCTGCAGTCAGTGGCGAAGCTGCATGCTCCGGCACTGGGGGCAGATAGAAGGTGGGGGCGTGGGTAGTGCACATCCTGGGGCCATGGCGCGCTGTCTGTGGGGGTATGATGCCCGGAGCAGTGGGGGAGTGCAGCGCATGTCCGGGGGGAGCCATGATGGTACCCCTCTCCTCGATGGTGCCGGGGGTGATGCGCTCTCTCTGCCTCCCTCCCCATTCCTCCACCAGTGCCTGAAATTCCCAGCCACTGGTATTTGAGAGTTGAGACAGAGCATAGACATCCTGGCTAGCAGCCATTGATAGTCTTATCCTCCATAGATTTGTCCAATCGTCTTTTAAAGTCTTCCAAATTGATGGCCATCCCTGCTTCCTGTGGGAATGGTGTCCACAGTTTAACCCACTTTTTCTTTTCTTCCTGAGGGCCGAAACTGCGTTCACTTGGGCAGAAGCCCCTTAGACAATTTATCATAGTGACATGTGTTTCCGTTACATTTCATGACAGGTACCGGGCTTCAAACTCGCTTCTGTGGATCAATTTAAAGGGGTTGACGTGCTCTGTCGTTTGTGGAACACTGGTTTCTAGGTGTACATGTAAGAAACTGGTGATTGTACACATACGCAAAGTTGGTATAGTTGTCCGAGAACTTGGATTGGCTGCAGTTTCCTGTTGGTTGTTCCCTTGAAGGCAAACTGGCTGCTTTGCACTGTGAAGTGTTACTGATATGGGAGCTCAACGTTCCCAATCCTACATTTTGGGCTGCATTTATTGAAAAGCGAGAGACGGGCACTCTGCGCGCGCTTAGAGGTATTGCCACCACAGCCAACTCCTCCAAACATATAGGAGGGTTGAATCTCTCTCTTTCTCTCTGCCCCAAACAATATGCTTACATTTTTCATGCTGTTTTAAAAAGCAGATTCAAACCGGCAAATTTTATTTTGAAGGGGAAAGCATCTGTGGGCCCTTAATCCTGAACATAATTCTGATGCAGATGATTTCCTTGCGAAATAAAATTGGCCAGTTCAAGCACGTTTTTGAAACAGTGTGACGAGCATAACCCGGAGAAGTGGCCCTCTGCCTTTTAGAAACCAAAGCCTGCTTGCTTCTGTTTACATCGTGAAAATGATGCTATTCACAGATTAACAATGCCTAGAGGGCCCTGGGGTTGCTCCAAGTCGGAATGTATACTTCTTTTCTGTGATTCCAGAGTGCCTGAAGGCCAGACATTATTCTCCTATCCCCAAACAGTGTGTGGCTCTATCTTGCGGTCTGTTCCCCATCAGCTGAGCTAATGGGGTTTGGACTCACAAGGCTTGTTGTAAATGGGTTGTGATTCGATCACCCGGAGCCAGTGTGGTGTTTTGATTAGTCCCCCTCCCCAAACCCCTTTCCTCCTTTGCCGGTCTAGGAGATAAACATTAACCATGACTTTAATTTCTCCGCAAACACCTCTGCTGCCAACTCCACTTGCCCACTCGCCCTTAATACACAGTGTAGGAGGATTTTAGCCGCCAAGCTTTCCGGGATAAAGAGCAAGTCTCAGCAGAACCCTCTCCCACAATCCTTGTTTTGTCTCTGCTGCTGCCGGGGAGCCAATTTGTTAAACAATCCAGTTGCCTCGTCGTGGAAAAAGAAAAGTCTGTATGTGCGTCTCGCTTGGGTGAGGGGTGCCTGGTTCGCTGGAATGAGGTTTCTTTTATCAATACTGTGCTTCCTGCGTTCAATTTGGGCAGGGTGTCTTGGAGTGAAAGACCTGCCGCAGCTACTGCTGGGCCTCACGTTGCTATTGATCAAGGGGATCAATAGGAGAGAGTCTGTCTGACTCCATTTGACTCGCTGCTTTCCGGTATTTGCAGTACAATGGTGTTGCCGGCATTATTGCCAGGGCAGCCTGTAATGTCATGTAGAACAGTTCCGTCTCTTGTGAAGGACTCTGGGAGGAGTAAGTACATTCTGTCTCCCATTGGACACACTTTGGGTAATCAATCTGCAATGAGCTTCCACTTTTGAGACTGAAACCAGTTTCTTAAGAATTGCTGTTGAACACGTTTAACATAAAAAGCAAGCACTCGGTCTCATACAAGGTGTAACCGGAAAGTTCGGTGAACGGTCACAGAAAACGGACAGCGAGAAATATTCGAACATACATACCTTAGGTAAAGGTAAAGGGACCCCTGACCATTAGGTCCAGTTGTGGATGACTCTGGGGTTGTGGCGCTCATCTCGCTTTATTGGCCGAGGGAGCTGGCGTACAGCTTCCTGGTCATGTGGCCAGCATGACTAAGCTGCTTCTGGCGAACCAGAGCAGCGCACGGAAACGCCATTTACCTTCCCGCCGGAGCGGTACCTATTGATCTACTTGCACTTTGACGTGCTTTCAAACTGCTAGGTTGGCAGGAGCAGGGACCGAGCAACGGGCGCTCACCCCGTTGCGGGGATTCGAACTGCCGACCTTCTGATCGGCAAATGCACCGTTGACAACGTTCGTAGAAACGTTAGAAACTTCTGGAGAAGTCCTCTTTTCGTACTGCTTTCGGTTCCCTCATCACAGCAGCTTGGACGTGTGAAATGTTGGGAGATCTGTGCCCTTTCAGTGCAGATTTCAGTTTTGGAAAAAGAAGGAAATCTGGTGGGGCCAAATCAGGAGAATATGGAGGGTGGGACAACTCAGTAACCTCAGTAATGATTTCACGCCGAATATGCAATTCTTCCGCCATCATTTGGATGCACAAACGGCAATCCCGCATTAGTAACTCACGACATTTGCCGCTGTTCTGCTCGTTGATGGTCTGCCAGACTGAGGGTCATCTTCAATGGTTTGCAGCCCTTCACGGAAATGCTTAAACCACTCATACACTGTCTTTCGAGTTACAGCTTCATCTCCACACACTATTGTGAGCATTTTGTGGGTTTCCAATGCCGATTGTATGTTCAAATATTTCCCGCTGTCCGTTTTCTGTGACCATTCACCGAACTTTCCAGTCACACCTTGTAGAATCATAGAATTGCAATTGGGAGGCATCCTAAGTGATATCTAGTCCAACCTCTGCAATGCAAGAATCTCAACTAAAGCATCCATGACAGATGACTGTCCAACCTCTGCTTAAAACCCTCCAAGGAAGGAGAGTTCACCACCTCTCAAAAGAGTCCATTCCACTGTCAAACAGCTCCTATTCTCAGAAAGTCCTTCCTAATGTTTAGGCAGAATCTCTTTTCTTGTAACTTGAAGCCATTGGTTCGATTCCTACCCTCCAGAGCAGGAGAAAACAAGCTTTTTCCACCTTCCATGTGACAGCCCTTGACATATTTGAAGGTGGCTATCATATCTCCTCTCAGACTCCTCTTTTCCAGGCCAAACATACCCAAGCTCCTTCAACCGTTCCTCATAAGGCTTGGTTTCCAGACCCTTGATCATCTTGTAACTTGATGCCGTTGGTTCAGGTTCTACCCTCCAGAGCACTGAATACAATACAGCTGCCCATTGCTACAACTGGGGCGGTTACTAGAAGAACATCAAATGATGGCTTTTGGAATGGAATAATTCAGTGCTATGATGCTCCTGGGGTCTTTCAGACAGTCGCTATGTAAGCCAAATCAAATGGTTTTACCCCAAGATTACCACTGTGACTCAACTTACCATGGAAACATCCAAACAAAGCAGTAGCAGCCATCTACTGAATTATAGCGGCACACTAGGATCTTAGGCAGGGGTCAGCAAACTTTTTCAGCAGGGGGTCAGTCCACTGTCCCTCAGACCTTGTGGGGGGCTAGACTATATATATATTTTTAAAATGAACAAATTCCTATGCCCCACAAATAACCTGGAGATGTATTTTAAATAAAAGGACACATTCTACTCATGTAAAAACACGATTCCTGGACCGTCTGTGGGCCGGATTTAGAAGGTGATTGGGCTGGATCTGGCCCCTGGGCCTTAGTTTGCCTATCCATGGATTAATATGTACCTGACCAGTAGCTTGGCTGAGCAGCCCAAGGAAATGATGCAAAGTGATATCTTTTGGTTCAGATTCTACCCAGATCATGACATGTTAGATGATGGAATTAACAAAGCAGATTTCTTTTTTAAAAAACAAGAGCATACAGAATGTAGCACTGCAGTTCCAGCACCTAAAGCATACATCTAAAACTTCCCTTGCCCTGTAATGGGTAGGCAACGCTTATTTATTTTCTGTGACTGCAAATATTTAGCTATGCTGATGTAACTAACTGGACTGCCCCATTAGGACGTCTAGGTGAAGTGTACTCAGAATTTCCTTTTCTTTAGAAGAACATTCGGAGATTTACGCTCATGGGCTCCATGAACTCAAGTGTCCTTGTTTATCAAGGACAATATACCTATT